TGCATCTTCTTTACAAGCTGAGAGAGAGTTTCAAAGTGAGCTTACTATACTTGGTTCCATTAGATCACCTCATATTGTATCATTGTTGGGGTATTGTATTGAGAATAATAAGAGGGTTTTGGTGTATGAGTATATGCCTAATCGTAGTGTTCAAGACTTGTTATTTAGTGATGTGAATGTGAGTTTAGGGTGCATGAATTGGGAGAGGAGGTTTCAGATTATTCAGGATGTGGTTAGAGCACTCGAGTTTTTGCATAATGAGTGTGACCCTCCTGTGATTCATGGTGATATTAAGCCTAGTAATGTGTTGCTTGATTGGGATTTTAAGGCAAAGATATCGGATTTTGGGTTGTCGAGGGTGAAGGTGGAGGATGAAGTTGGGATTGACTTGTTTAGTCAGGAGTTGGGTAAGAGTCAAGAATTGTGGAAGAGCCAAGATCTTTCGGGGAATTTGAATGGAGAAACCACCCCAACAATTGGAACTCCTCCTATTGAAGGTCATTGTAGTAGAGGTGAGGTTGATTTTGCTTTGGCTCTGCAAGCATCTAGCTCATCTAAGCATGTCAAGGGATCCCATAACACGAACGGCTTGAATAGTGCTAATTCATTGAGCTATAACTGTAGTAGCAAAGCCAATCCGAAAGGGAAAGAAGTTTTGGTGGAAGATATTGTTGGTTCATATGATCCAGAGTTTTCTAGTGTCGAGCATAGTAAAGAGCTTGGTGTGGATGATGCCGGAGAGGGAAAACAATGGGGGAAAGATTGGTGGTGGAAACAGGATGATAGTAGTGAAGTGTGCAGCAAAGATTACGTTAATGAATGGATTGGCACCCAAATTTGTGGTTCAACGAATCGGGATTGGGAGAGTATGAGCTCGCCAATGGAATTCAACTTAGGCTATTCACCTCAGCTGGATAAATTAGAAGAAGAGAAGGAAGAGCTTGGATGCCCTGATGTGAAGGGGTTTGAGCCAAAGGACAAAAGCATTCAGAAGAACAAACCTAGAAAAATGCAAGATTGGTGGAAACAAGAGAAACTTGATGAATTGAGCAAAAAAGGAAGTAAGCGAAAGAGCCTTGAAAGTAAGATGAGGAAAAGAATCAGAGTGCCACATTTTGGCTTAGGTCGACAATTTTGCATCTTCAACAGAAGAAGTTCAAAGGAGCATAACCAGGAAAATAACAGCCTAAAACACGAGTTTAGTTTCAAGAAGGTATGGAAGAAAAAACATTCACGTTCGATGGGAAGTGAGTTGAGTGGAGAATTATTCAGCAGGGAGTTGAGCAGTACAACTAGTATGAGAGGCACTTTATGCTATATAGCCCCTGAATATGGAGGATGTGGTTACTTGATGGAGAAGGGTGATATATACAGCTTAGGTGTTCTTGTGCTAGTGATAATTTCTGGTAGAAGGCCATTGCATGTTTTGAATTCACCTATGGAGTTTGAGAAAGCAAACTTGATAAGTTGGTGTAGGCATTTAGCTCAAGTTGGAAATGTTTTAGAGCTTGTAGACGAGAGACTGAAAGATGCATACAATAAGGAGCAAGTGACATTGTGTATTAATTTGGCCTTGGCTTGTTTGCAAAGATTGCCAGAATTGCGTCCAGAAATTGGAGATATTGTTAAGATTTTGGGAGGGGAAATGGATCTCCCGCCATTACCATTTGAGTTTTCTCCCTCCCCACCTTCTAAATTTTACAGCAGGTCGAGGAGAAGACAATCAGAGTAACCTCTTTATCTTAATTCATCATGTATCTATGGTGCATGTAAAATAGAAAGGTGTAAGAATCATCAGTAGGAGGAAATGGCTTGCTGTTGGAAATAATTCCTTTTTATTGAATACTAAATATTCTAAGTTTGATTAGCTGTACATTTTATTTACATTTTCCCTTTCTGTTAGCTTAGAGAAGTTGTACATGCAAAGCTAGAAACATGGTTTTCGATTTTCCTTGATTTGGTGCCATTGTGCCAAGAATCTTGAACTCGGAATTGGAAAGGCTTCCATGTTTTATATGCAGTTGCCATAGCTCCAAACTGGAAACCTTCAATTGTATTCACAGAAAAATACTTGAGATGGTGACCTGAATTCCTTTACAAGCATAACAGATTGCTACTGTGCGATAGATACCTTTGTTGCAACTTAAATTATGTTCTCTGAAATCTTTTTTGCTCATACCAGTACTTATTTAGTACCCCTGTATTCCAGGGATGGTTATAGATCCCAACTTTTGGCAACAGAAAAACTTACCTTACTTTCGGGACATCCATACATCCCTAATTGGTATATGTTACATTGGTTTTGGGAAATCCCTGGTTGGTATTTGTTAACTTAGATCAAGGACTGAGGGAGTATTGGCAATACTTTGGCATGGCGTTCAGATTCCTACATATACGGCGATATGTCAATTTTCCAAGTCTTTCGGCTACTACACCAATTACACACCCTTGTTCAAACAATGGTATGTTTAATTTTAACACTCGTTCATATTTGTAATAATAGAAGCATCATCTAGTCTTGATTGTTCTTTCATCACAGGTTCTAGGCAGATTGCAATAATTTTGCTGCGAGTGTCAGAGATTAATTGTGGGAGGAATCTCAGTGACAAACTGGCAGGTGTGAAACTCTGAGTTTTCCAGAAATGATGTTTAACTATTGAATATCAATTGCCATATCATATGAAGCATTATTGTCTCTTGGATTGTATAGTTTCTTACAGTTGGAATAAAATAATTGAATACTTGTCTGCTAGTTCTGGAGTAATTTACCCTTTACTGTACTTTGCATGATGCCCATGATATAGAAAGCAAAAGAATTATTCATTGAAATTGCAATTTAATTTGATCTTATTTCACCTTCAATCTTCTTTATTGGATCTTAATGAGTCTGATCAGCTCAGATGTGGTTGATTGTAGCTTTTATGGGATTTAAGAGTATCTTCTGGAGTTATATATGTTTCTTGGTACTTGGTAGGCGTGTAAGATGAAGACTCTTGTTTGGTGTTTATGCATTTAAGGGGAAACAAATGCTGCTAGAATTTAGAGTATAGACCACAAATTCACATTACAAATGCACGTAATGTTAATAATTATAGTGGTCCACACCTATGTTACTCAGACTTGACTAGAAGTGTCAGATATGAGTACGTGTCTAATTGTATAAAACAACCATTTTATGAAATTTTTGCCTAATTTAGCCCATATGAAATGTGTTCAATGAGTGTCATACCATTGTCTGGGTGTGGAGTATATCCATTAAGTTGGAGTGACATACGTTTACACTTGGAGGTATAGAGCGGGTTAGTTTGGATCGGATTTAGTCTGGGTCAGGTCATGTATGATCTGATCATTTTTGGGTGTATTGTCTATTAGCTAATTATGATAAATTATTCCACATTAATAGGCTATATTAATTCTACTTTAATTTGAGTTAGGTTGGGTAATTTAGGTGCGTTTGCCAGCTCTAGTCAGTACACAATGTCCACCAAGGCATTAAGGGTTGAGTTATTATTCTTAGTTTGCTTCTATGAGTGTAGTATGTGAAGGATTCATCTTTGGTCTGCATCTGTAAACCCCTCATTGATTGAATATCAGTGAACCTAAATCTGTCCCTACTGAAAGAGGTCCAATTAGTAAGACTGGACCACAAATTTGCATGTTTTTAATAGGACAAGTAGAAACAGAATAAGTGGAAAGTGGTAGGTTAGATCAAGTTCAAGACAGAATTTGACAATGCAGATGTGGTGTTGTAAGTTTCAGATGAATTTCTATGTCATGCACTCATGCGTCTGTTTCGTGGTTGAATTGCTGTATGATAAAGTGGTCATGTAGCTGTCAGGATAGAACCTATACTTCATTTCTGTTTCAGATGTGCACAACTATGAAAGCAAGTTCTTTGTGTGTCAGCATCATGAGGAACATGAAGGATCAACAATTAAAAATAGTGTTTTTTGTGCACAATAACAACCTATATGTTACTCAGACTCAGGTACTCGTGTCAAACATGAGTATGTGTTTGTCTGACTTGACTGTTTTTGTAAAACAATTCCTTGATTTTGGCTTGAATTGAAGTGTCCTCATTGATGTCTGAATGTCGAGAATCTAGTCTTCGGGGTAAAATGAAGAGGGTGAGTAACGTAAGAAACAAGCCCAAGATAGCCTCACCTGCTTGATGGGCCAACAACATGAGCTTCTCTGAGTTTATTAAGCATTACACATGGTCTAACCTACTAGAGCACCTAGCGTATGACCAATCGGGTTTTGGTTCAGCCGTGGCCAGAACTGACCAGCAACCTGGAGTGAAATTGAAGCCATTACACTATCGAATTACATGCCTGATTTATGTAGGCTTGGTCTGATTGGAGCCCAGCCTGAACTCGGCCTAGACTAGCCCATTGGTCTCGGAGAATAATGAAATGTTGCTGACCCTTGGAAGAACATACTGAAGGATGACATAAAGTCTACAATTTAGCCTCTTGTCTGTGCTTGCCTCAGCCCTTAATTATATCTAGCACAAAGACAATTATGCATGTTAGTTAAACTTCATACAAAAATTCGTCGCAAAGTATGGCTCTCGGGGCTAACTTCATCAGTTCATCGTTTCCCATCTGGCTCAGGCCCTCAGCAGTGAAAACCTAGTTGGTTCTTGTTTCACAGACTCATATTGTCTGAATCAGACTCGTGCATCTTTCGTGCTTTACATATACACGATACAGCTGAATTTAGCTCGCAGCTGCGCTCCTTTTTAGCATTATCTCCAGAAAGACCAGTAAGAATATTTTATTGATTTTACTTTTCCAAAAAATTCACCTAAATTTTACCTACGGAGTATAAGTCACAAATGTAAAGTATATAACTATATTATCACAATTTTTTTTTATTAATTTTATTTTTTAATAAAGTTTTTTGTAGGAGATGCTATCCAATATTTTCTTTATAAATTAAGGCAAGTGTGAATGTAAACTATACATTCAAATTTGGAATTATTGCTGTTGAGATATGGTTATATTCTGGCTAGAATTTTAGAAGTTTGTTTGGTAAACAAGTTAATGTATTAATTGCAAGAAACTTCCAAACTCTAAATCCTCTAGATAGTCTTGGAGACCAAGGCATCAATCTATGACTATTCTATCTTTCGTTACCCATGGTTTTCTACATGTATAAATTATGTAAACCCATTCATAAAATATTGATTACATCACAAATTAAATTTACACATTACTCATATTAATCACATTGTAATTACGTACTTTGCATCATAATACATAATTAATGGCTGGCCCTGGTTTGTACTACTTCTTTCCCACTGATTACTTCGTCCCTCCTCTATACTCTACCATAGATGATCATAACACTAGCCTTCCTACACCAAAGATTCAAGTCAAGAGCACACCTGTTGATCCTCGTGACAATGATCGTGATCGTGAACATGATGATCGAAAGCTATCGATGAACAAGAAGAGCAAGAGTATGTTAACGATCAAGACTAGTGCAAAACCGAGAGAGATTAAGCCTGTTCATAAGCATGCTATGTTTTAAATCATCAAGCAATTTTGTCTACTAATTAAAAGGGGGAGTTATTATTGTCCTTTTTCTTTGATTTTAATTAACTTCTTGGAAAATCTTGTTAATGAGTACCTAAAATTTATTTTTCGGGCCTGTTGTTTTTAGTAATTATTTAAGGTAACTTTGATTATTTCTTAGTTCTAATGTAATTAGGGTTCTAGTAGTTTGCTATTACGCTCCAAGTCTAGAGCTAGTATACATTGTAAAGTTAGTACTGCTTACAAGTTCAATAGACATAAAGTCAATTAAAGAAGCATATAATTTGAAGAAAACATTGACTCTTCTAATCTAGTTACTACTTTAATAATACTCTGTAATATAGATAGATTTTGATTGGTTCTCAATATGTATACGAAATATAAACTATTAAAAATTTGTGTGTTTAAACACCGTACACAAATCAAACTTATTGTTCTTATTTAACCACTAATTTTAGCTAATTCAAGTTGAAAATTTGTAATGCGGGTACTTTAATTAAATTAAGATCATTGTTAGATTAACTATAGGCAATTTTTTACATTAATCCGGTTATACCAAGTACAACTAAACTTATTTCTGCCTATATGTTCGTACCTACAAAGTACCTTAAGTACAATCGATTGTACAATGACTAATCTGATATTTTCCTACCAACTTAACAAATCAAATTACCTTCACTCGTTCTTATTCATGCATATACAGTCATACCACTATGAAAATTGGGCTAAAAGTTAAGACAATCTCCAAGAATTAGATTGCGCAATTAGAGTGGTGTCACTACTCGGGCCAACCTTCACTAGACACCTATAAAAGAAGTGTGTTTAGGAACCACTTCTTGTTTATTAGGTCATGAACTCATAATGCCTATTTATTTTGCATTGTTTTCCCTTTTATTTTCTTTTTTTTTTTATTTATTTATTTTATTTATTTTTTATTTTAATTGATTGAGGTAGATGCATGCGCATGCAGATATGCAATGTATGTGGTGATGGTGTACACCACGTATGAGAAGAAGGTCAAGTGATGGACCGTCAACTTTGGATGATATTGATAAGTTGACTTTTTATTCTTTTTCTAAAGTTAAATTTAATTTGGCTTTTCGTTTTCAAATAAAGCCATGATAATTTTCATACAAGAAAAATTAAAGTGGTTGGCCTCCTTATAATATACACTAGGCATAATTTTAGCAACACCCAACAACCAAAGAGCGCGAATATTCGGTATTTACACTTGAAAATCTATTATATTCACTATTTATATGTAAACCGCAAGCAGTCGTCACTTCCCCACGCCTAATCTAATAGGCAAGGTCTCGTATAAAATTTCAATCAAACAAATAGGTCAATCAATAAGGTCTCATATAAAATTGTTCTAATCAAAACAAATAAGTTAATCAATAAGCAAGGTCTCATGTAAAGTAATATCTTAATTTTTTTTTTATAAGAATCACAAGATTACTCCAAAATATACGAGTATACTCTAATCTTTTTTTGTTTTTAAATTGGAGACGTATGTTCTTACTCGAGAGCGAGAAAATATATTAAATATGTACATAAATAAAAGGTAATAGAGGATGTTCAACTTGATATACAAAGGAATTATAATCTTTATTGGATTATAGCATGTGTGTAACATACTACGAGTATCATGTGATTATTTGTTTGATTCATTTCAATACATAGTTCTACAATATCAAAACTCTAAAATCCATAAAAAATACGAATATCATTTTAAGGATAGGTAGTTTTACAAATTTGTCTTATTTTTTACGGAGCATTTTTTAATTTTTTTTTAAGAATATACTCCTAGATGGCTAGATTCCTAATTCTATAGTATTACTAGATTAATAAAATACATTAATTAATCATCCCTATTAACCAGTCAATCTCCAACCGACCTTCCGAAAAAGTCACATTCAACAACCATATTTTATGGGATTCCAATTTGTAACCCTTTTTCACTTCTTATAAATAAGTCTCAAATCACACCAACAAAATTAGTTAATTGTATTTTCCAAGACTAGATTTCCATCTTTAGAGTTTTCTTCATTATTTAACATTTCTCATCCATTCAAACAAACAAACAAAAAAACATACCATTCTCAAATTTTATTTCCATTCAAAAAAAATATATTTCCAAATTTAAATGGCTGGTCTTCAATACAGATTCTTCCCTACTGATTTCTTCGTGCCAACTTTCGAGCCTACCGTTGTTGATTCATCTCCTAAAGTGATGTCGTCGTCCTTGAACAACTCCAACCATCGAATCTACGATGATGATTCAAGTGAATTGTCTAAGAATAAGGATATCAAATTCAATAACAAGAAGTTTGCTAAGCTTTCCACGGATTCACCTCAACGGTCCATTACACCTGTGACTAAGAAAGATTAGATTTTTTGCAGGTTTTTATTTTTAATGGCTGTTTTTAATCTCGTAATGATTGGAGTTTATATTATGAGTATGTATTAGCTATTAATCAAGAGGCTTTAAAAAAGATAATATTGAACAAACCTTTAATAATCAAGGTTATTGTTGCATTAATACATCTAACTTAGTATAATTATGATTTAATATGGCATAGTTTAAATGTATGATATGATAATAATAAAAAAAAAAGAGGAAAAATAGGAACTTGATTTGTACTTGTAAGTTAATTTGTTGCAATTTTTGTACAAATCAATGAGTGGATTTGCAATGAAATATACAAGTATTTACTATAAAGAAATTTTTCTAGATTGTGGTGTTTTATTAATTTCTGTCCAATTACACAATTTTAATGTTCGTTGATGATTCAATTTTGATTAGATCATTCTACTACCCTTTGTATGGTTCACGTTGAACAGTGAAAATTCTAATGTAGTCTTATGACTTTTTACTACCACAATTTTTTTTTAAAATGGACGGCTGAGATTGTTTGTTTTTTAATTTATCTTTAATTAGTAATTTTAATTTAAAAATATTTTTTAATTATTATATATATATATATTTTATTTTCATAATTTTGAAAATATTAAAAAATCATTTCTAGAAGATAAAAATGATTTAAAATAATTAAAAAATTATTTTTAATTAAAATTACTAATTAAAAATAAATAATCTCAACCGTCCATTTTAAAAAATTGTGGTAGTCAAAATTTATAAGACTACATTAGAGATAAACTTTAAAAAATTAAAAGATATAATAAAGTGATCAGAGTTCTGTTAATCTGTTATTGTTTTTCTTTATAAACTTTTAACATTTTGTTCGTGATTTATTAGGGAATTATAAAAAAAAAAAAAAAATGCTTTGATTTTGAAAATTACAAAATTTCAATTTAACAAAGAAAAGGCTCAATTTTTTTTTTTTTTTTTTTAATTCTTCTTTACAAAATAATTGTATGTCAAGGGTTTCGACTTTCCAGTGCCATTAACTTATTCGAATGTTCCAAACAACTTATGGGTATACGGCTAATACCTTGTTACGATCTAGGCTATTATACAAAACAATTGTTAGTTATCACATCAATTTAATGGACACATACATATATATTCAGAAAGATCTTTACGTACTAAATCAAGTCATTTATGTGCAACTTCTTTTTTAATTTGTTCTTAGGTAAACCTAGAGATATGTATACCTACCCATGTTTCTTAATTTGCTCATCTTATTAGTTTAACTCATTTGGAGATCAAAAAGACCCTTAAAGTGTGCGCGGAAATAATGTACTATAAAAGTGTTGTCAATTATAGATATAAAAGCCTTTCTTTTCCTCTATATTGTATACTCCATTTATATTCCTCATCTGTAGTCCCTTAAAAGATTAATTTATGTAATTCCAAGTTCCAATTTTTCAAACTTGTACTATAAAAACAAAGCCGCCATCCTAGACCACTTCTTTGGAATTTCGAATAATAAAAAAAATGCAAGTAATATATGGATATGCTAGCTCATTCTATATTATAAGAAGAAATTAAACTTTCACACATTTTTTTTTTTTTGTTAATTTAATTTTTTTAATGGTATAAACTAGTCAAAATTATGCGAATTTTATGCTTGTGGCTTTTAAATAGAGACGAATCATTCGCTTTTGAATTGTTCACATGTTTTTGTAGACTAATTTTTTTTCTGGATGTGGTTGCCTCCAACTTGCAACTACTCTCGGGCCCAAAAACAGCCAAGCCCAGCCCAATCCATATCCTAAACAAGCTTGTTTCTGGAAATAGAGTAATGGCTAAACCCAAGGCATCAACCATTTGGGATCCATACCACCCATTAACACCAAGCTAGTAGGCTAGGACTCCATATTATGGATCCAGCAACCGGGGAAAGATGTCACACATGCTTGCAACACGACATGTAAGTGTCACACATTGATAAGATATGGTGATTTACGTACAATTGTGTTGTACATGTCTATGTGTGCTTTTATGCATATTTGATACTCTCAGCTTCGTATGATATGTAGGTAAACCATAAGACCATAATCCAATGAGGGAAAAAAAAAGAAAAAAAGAAGTACAAGATTAAATGGCATCAGAATATGCAAAGGCCGAAAGATCATAGGTTTGTCAATATGGGTCCAGTGTGTTTAGACTATATCCTGATTAATTAGTAATGAACTGAGGACTGATAATGTCTTAAATAAAGTTTACCTTAATTATTAATTGAAGCCAGCCTATTGAAATAAAGATATACTGTATGTCTTTCATACTTTGTATATTTTTTAATAGTAATGCTGATTATTCTTTGCCAAATAAACACAAGTAACTGATAGAGTATATAAACTAATTCTATACGTACTTCAATCATCAACATAGATGTTTTGTTTGAATTGGTCCTCTAACATGATATTAAGAGCTAATGTGATATAAAGATTACGGGTTCAAATTTCATCCATTTTTCCTTTCAAATGGAATATTAAGCGCTAGGTATATGCTCAACATCAAATTTTTTTTGTAATGGCTAGTTTATCTCTTCATTCGGTTTATTTTGAGAAATTTTTTCTGTCATTCTAGCCTGAATTTTCATTTATTACTTTGTTAAAATGGCTGATAATAGTATATGGTCCTATACCAATTTTTTGCTGAGTCATTATAATAAAAATTTACATAAAATATGGTCCTATACCGACATTATTTGCGAGAGCAATGAAACTAAACCATGTTTTCACATGATATCCATATCAAAGATCAAATGACATCCATATGTTGCACCAGATCAGATTATAATATATTATATTATCAATAACAATATTTTGGTATTACAAAAGAGAAATCGGAAAATACAGAGAGATAATACGGAAAAACGTATCACAACGGTAAATACACAAAAGTTATAAGAATCATACCATTTTAAAAACCAAATGACATGATTGACATCTATATTATACCACATTACATTATATTGTATTATATTATATATTATTACTAACAATAAGTATTTTTGGTATTACAAAATAGAAATTGAGAAAGACAGGGAGAAATAACACGAAAGAACGTATTAAAATGGTAAGTACGTACACAAAAGTTGTAAGATTTGTAATAAGAATTAAAAATAGTTAAAGATTAAGGGCATTTGGGACCACCCCTCTTGGTCTTCCAATTGTTGTAGCAAGGGCAAGATTGCTTGTTGCCGTAAGTACCAGTAGGAACACACAAACACTTTGCACAACATTTGTTACAGAAAAACAAACATGGCTTCTTGTATTGCGTATTTGAACACCTATATGAGCATCTCGGTCCACATTCTGTTCCAAGCAACAAACAACAAATTATGAGTTATCACTACTCTATCTGCGGAATTCAATGACAAAATTTTGCGTTTTTTATAAGCAATATTGTGCGTGCTAATTTTAGACCATGTTCAATTCGACCCACTTTAAAAAATAATATTGATCAAGAATTACTTTTTGTGACTAGTGAATTAGTAGAAGTTAGTAATCGATGAAAAGTTTTGGTAAGAATTATAATAATGTCGGTATGGTCATTAAAAATCAAGCGAATTGAATAGGCTGGGTGAAGATTTTAATTAATTAATCACAAGTCAAGCAAAATGCATGCACGAAACATATGGACATATGGTTGAGCTTAGTGAATAGACGTACCTTGAGGCTGGAGGCTTCCTGGGGTGTAGCCATACTGAAATTTCATTAAAATTCGTAAGTTTAAATCCCGTATAAGTCAATCCAACTATATATATATACATATAATGTGGTTTTTTCGATACATGAAAATTAAATATTTACAGCATTTTATATACAAAGTAAAATAAATTTTTTCCATTACTACTTTTTATTCAGTATAGCTCAATAATTCAATCAATAAATAAAAAACACAGAATGTTGTCTTACCGAAGGCAGATTGTTTGTACTATTTGAGGATTGTGGGCTTGGACTTGGAGCAACTTCATGAGTATGGGTTGGCTGCATCAATAACATGACCAATGAGTTCACTACCACTTACAAGCTTACAAAAATTTGTGACAAATTAATTTTCAAATAATTTATTTCAGTTTTTAGATGGAAATAAATTATTACTTGAGTGACAATAAGTTTAAAGGAAAAAGATTTTGCGATTATTTATCAATGCGTACGATTTAATTTCACTAGGACAATGAAACACTCAACATTATTCTTACCACGACACTAAACTTAGATAAAGTGACAAGGCGACAATGTGTTTCCATATACTCTGTACTAGTTTAATATTCCGTAGTCCGTACTAATCAATTGATGATGAGATTGAAGAGAAGTATATTGGCACTTACATGATTTTCTGCTGGAGAAAAGTGGAGGAACATAACAAAGATGAAAATGGTACACAAAAGCTTCATTGCCATTGCTTCTTTTTTTTTCCCCCAACACAAATAAATATGTTTATCTCTAAAAAATTTAAGTAGGAAAAAAAGATAGAGCAAAAATAAGAGAGAAAAGTTAAGGTGATAAATGAAAATGAGAGTGATAGAGTTTGGAGGTTACTAACGATTTTTGGAGGGTATTTATAGGCAGTTGTGACCGGTATTTTTACTATTTTAAAAATCTTTTTATTTTTTTGGATTTGAAAAAAAAAATTCAATAGAAAAAAGTTTAATTAGTTGAAATATGGGACCAAAATAACCTTATACAAAGTGGACAAATTACACTTATGGCAGAGTGTTGAAAAGGAAAGAACGAATATTGTCCACTCCTAATCAAGCAAATTATCACTTCAGCAACAAATATAACCAACACAAATTCTTCAAAAAGACGGGTGTACATTAATTTTTTGCAAAACGGGTTAAGTTATCCTAAAAGTATTTAAAGTTACCTTATATATTACAAAAGTTATTATTTTTCTAATAATAAATATTATCTTATAAAAAAACATACAATGTATTAGATTAATCATATCAACCTTTATAATATGTAATCATGAATCTATAATAAATTACACATTAAAATAAAATTCAAACTAACAACAAATTAAAAGTTATCCTTTACGGGGTTAAAGTTACCATAAATATAGTTAAAATTACCCTCAAAATGACCGTTTTACAATAAAATTAACGTATACCCGCCTTACACAAGATTTATTGTATAACGAAAACGCTTAATTTGAAAATTCAATCTGCATCCGATAAATTCCAATTTCTTATTACATTGGTTGGAAGTTCGGTTAAAATATCAAAAAAAATTAATTTTTTTTAAACAAGAGAAACATTTGATATTCTCTTTTTTATATAAATTACAATTTTCAACTTTGAAAATTTATGGGCTTAATAAGATGTTTTTATATTCTTCTTCATTTCCTAACAAGAATATTGAGATAAATAAATTACATTCACCAACCTTGTTATTAGCATCAGTGTGTAACATTTCCCATAGTTGATGAAAGTGAAATTAAACAATATGCAATGATCGATTATAAAATCAATTTAGTAATTTGTACTAAGATTAGCAACAATTAATTAATAATAGTGCAACAAATAAACTAAGTTACTTTGAAGAGCAAACAATCTAATTAACCACTCGATTGTCAACTATGGCATATGGTCAAGGAGCTAAATCGGTACAAAGTATATAAAATTTAAAGAGGTTTGTCGGTAGACACTTAGTTATACTAGTTGTCTATATGTACTAATTTTGGTAAGCATATGAGTATATTCAACAATTGCCGTGCACATTAATACAAAGTTGTCATTTATCTTTTAATAAGTTCGGATTTTAGTCCGTTCAAAAAAAAAAAAAAAAAAAAGTTTGGATTTTAGTAGAATTTCATACATTGATCTCCTTTATATATCAATACTAATCTAATGAATTTTATTTTATTAAAAAAAATCTAATTATTTTATCAATAAACCTAACAACATGGGTTTGGAGAAGAAGGATCACATGCAATATATAATAACAAGTAGGGTTCACATCCCTCAATCAAAGGGATCACATGAGATGTAATTCAAGGAAATTACCAATGACATAATTCACATGCAATTTGTCTTAGCTTAGACAAGATTCATCATGCAATTTCATCCTATATATAAATATAATTAAATATAACTAAATATAAAAAATATATATAATTCAATGTACGAATCTAACTATTTTTTGCCCTTTCTAGACGTACACAGCACCATACATAACATTTTGCCAACTTTTTAATTGGTTCTATCTACTTTATATTTTAATTACTTCCAAATCTATGTCATCCTTCGTTGTCAAAAATATTGAAGAAATAGTGTATGGATTTATGAGTCTCAATTATGAATTTCAATCGGATCGAAAATTGTATATACTCCCAAGTCCTTTCTTCACGGGTGACACAGAAAATCCATGTTACTTTGCACATAAGCTTCAAGATGTGGTAGATTTAATATTAAAATAAGCAAAAAATTTAGCCACTTGGCCCACAAATAATATGAATGGGGATGTACGTAAATGCATTATACTTCATATATTCTTACTAATCATTAGTGTGATACTCTTTTTGTTTCATAATGTGAACATTAATAAGTGCACAAAATGTGAGGTAATGGAAAAAAGGAAAAGAGAAAGGCAAAGTTACAAAATTGACTACTTCATATTCCCTTCGTCTTTATTTTTTACTCCATTTATTTTTTACCCCGTTTCCGTTTTAGACTGTCCCTTTAATTCTGCCCTATTGTATTTTTGAACATATGGGACTATACGTTTACATTTACTCTCACAATCACCCCATTAACCCCAATACTTTTCTCTCTCATCATTTTTTCCAACCAAAAGTTAATAAAGTAACCTTTTTCTATGAGGTAAAAAATAAGAGGCAGAGAGAGTATATAATTGTAGACATTCAACAAAACAAGTACTATTAAAAAGTGAAGTACTACCATTTCGGGTAAAAGTGGTGTATATGTTGTAGTATTGTGAAACTTGTAGAAAAGGTAAGCCTTACAATAATGAAGCAATGTTAAAGCAACGTAGAACGGTATAGAGTATACTCTGTATAATTTTAATAGCCTTAGGTAAATATTTCTCATTTGTTTTCATACACTCCTTATTTAAAATATTCATTATTACATAAATTTTTACAGATACAGGGTTAAAATGTAAGTCTAAATTAATAGGAAATGAAAATAAATAACTTAGAAAAGGTTACAAGATGTCAAGATACATATACAATTTCGTATCAATACTTATTCTTACTTATATACTATCCTCCATTTTTTTTCCTTGCTCATTTATTGATCTATTCATTATTAATTCGCTATTGACCAGCTTTAATCCAACCCATTTTTTTCTAATAAAATGTGATCATTTTTTAACCCGATTTGCTCAAATATTGAACATTGACATGTTTATTGTTAACAAAGAACGGACAATAGATACGAAATTACGGAGTAAAAGTTAAAAAATTAGCATGCCGGCATGCATGGGAAATGGGATGGACAAGAATCAAGATAAGTATTACCTAGGCTTAGCAGCAACTAATCTGAAATACGAGTACTGTGACATGTAACATCCAAATAAGGCTTTTCAACTTGTTGTGCATGTGAGCTAGGATGTGCGTATCGTAAATTACATTAATGGCTTTATTACATGCATGTGCTTTCAATATATACATGACATATTGCACATCATTAAGCCTCGTCTATGGTCCACTATTCCAACATTTTAGCAACGCAATTCACTTTTTTTTTTTTTTTTTTTTTTTTTTACGGTAAGATACGGGAGGTCCCCTCATCCTATCACAAGAGGGGGGGGGGGAGTGGGGGGAGATGAAGGGACTAACCATCCCTCCATCTCCTATGTCCTCATTGACTTTTTGTTTAATGGATCTAGTCTATACGCATAAATTTCATTTTAGTAAATAAAGTATAAAAAAAAAATTATATTTTTAAATTACGAAGTACTTCCTTAATGCGAAGTAATAAGGGTTCTTATACTACACTATTTTTACGTATATATATAATAGTTTTCGGGTGTTCATTTATCGTCTGTCAATCTGAGAGTCTGAGACCAACGACAAATATGTTAAATGTGTTATTATCTTAGCTATGTGTAATTGAGAATAACAATACAACTAGTTAATATAAGAGTGTTGATGTAATTACATGTCAAGTTATATGAAAATATATGATTTATGTCATATTGTAATGTGAACCATATCAATTAGTCTCGTGTATCAAACTAATAAGGAGTAAGGAGAACAACATAGAATACATGCATGCAGTGTTAATCACAAGATTAAGAAAAAGCTGTGGTTGAAATTACATGCAATCTATCTATTATCCCGTGACACCTACATGCACTTTGGAGCTATTGCTTCTTTATTTGGTTTTATTTGCTAAGATTTTGTATGTATCTCTTCTTGTGAGTTGTGAGAATGCGTGAGAAAAATCATGAAAAAAGAAGATTTGTCAATAAATTTTCAACTACAATTTTTGCACCAGATAATCGTTGAGGTTAGAAAAATCTAATGTATGTTAGTCCATTAGATTGTTTTCGATCGAGTTGGGTAAAGATATAATCTAAGTCCGATTTCAAAACCTTTTTAAGTTACACCGATTATTAGTTAGCTTGTTGGAGTTATATTCTTTGGGTTACGTGTTCGAGACTCAAAATTTAATCAAGTATAGTTTTTCCAAAAAATTGTGCTCAAGCTTTCACAACCCTTAATACCCAAGGATCGAGTAAGTTAATTTTACAAAATCAAATTAGCAATACATACTTGTTCTACATTTTTTTACAAGATTTATTTTCACTTCTAATATTAGCAAGGTACGTGCTAACATGCTGTAATCACATCTTACTATCTTAGGTAACACTTTCTTCTAAAAATACAACACAATTAACTATTCCCTTTAATTTAGGTTTTATTTAAACTAATGAGTCTGTGAGTGACTTGATTGGGTGATGCGCCTAGTATTTGTAAAATTTATTTAGTGAAGAAAAATTGAAGTCATGAGGAAGAAGTGATGTCATTCACAAACTTTGAAAAAATTAGCTTAAATTGATATAAAATCCTATTTGTAATGCTATCTTGTTAAGTCGTCATTATTTTTAAAGGTCACATGTCTTTGTATTAAACTCTACAAATTCCAAAATGACTAACAAAACGACACGAATTAAATTGTATGGAGTACACACCATATGATAAAAAATGTTGCCAAATCTACTAATTAGCAAGTTAGCATGCTAATTAACTATGTCGTACAAGATCGGCAATTTGGCAACTTGATTAAGTAGTTTTGTTCAGGTAGCTCACAATATGTCCTTTTATCTAAACATGCATATCATATCGATTTCACTACTTCTATTCATGTGCTGCCTTTTATTATGTCTCTGTCTATAATCTATATCCTACTTTATACGAGTATGAATTTCACCACTAAATCAACATCTACGAAAGATAATTATAATGAAAACGACCAAAGGCCACAAAGTTTTCATTACTCGAGTAAGCAAAAATCGAAATTTCACCACCATATCAGCTTGAAAAAAAAAAAATCATTGAAGACTCCACC